ACAGAGCAAAAATAGCCTGGTATGGTTTTTGAGTTCCTGTTCCAACATCCTTGACGCTGACTAATAGAATTCTCTCTCTTAATCTATCCCTTACTGAGGACTGTTTTAGAAACACTATTTCTCTGCCAAGAAAGAAACATCTTGGATGTTTCAATAATTCAAATTTGGCTTTAATGTTAAACTCTCAATGCTCAGTGAACGTCTATTCAAATTCTAACTTCAAATTAATATGCACCGAGACCTAGTGCATATTAATTTGCTGAAAGGGAGGACTTGAAACACTTGCTGATGAAGATCACGGGTGGAGGCCCTCAACATGGATTGCAACTCAAAGTAAAGAACAAAAACCTCACAACTGACGCCCTGGGTAACAGCATGATGAATGGAGAAAAGTTTGAAATTGTCACGGATTGTGTCTTGCTGTGATGCCCAATTAATACTCATGGAAGCAGCAGTCAAGAGATCCAAAGAAGAGTGGCATTAGGGAAATCTGCTGCCCAAGATCTCTTTAGAGTGTTGGAGTGCATAGATGATACTTTGAAGACTAGGGTGCCTTACCCCATGATACTTTCAATTGCCTCGTATGCATGGGAAAGTTGGACATTGAATAAGGAAGACTGAGGTGGAATTGATGCATTTGAATTGTGGTGCTGGAAAAGAATATTCAAAGGACCGTGGACTACCAAAGGGACAAACAAATACAGCCAGAGTGCTCCTGAGAGGCAAGGAAGACGAGGTTTCATCCTACATACATGGTATTTTTGGAAATGTTGTGAGGAGAGACCTGTCCTTGAAGAAGGACATCACGCTTGGGAAAGTAGAGGGGCAGGGAAAGAAAGAAAGGCCCTGAACAAGATGGATTTAGATACTGTTGCGATGATGGCTCCAGCATAGGAACGAACAATCGTAAGGACCAGACGGTGTGCACAGGGTCGCTGTGGTTCGGAACGCACTCAATGGCACTGAACAAGAACATAAGCGATCTTAGTAGGTAATATTCATGTAGCTGCCCACTAGGAGAAGACTGCCCTTTTTCTATTCCTGGTCTCCAAGAGGAGGAACTCTCCCAGACGTATTGCTGGCCACTCCACTCCCAGGGAGGTACCCACATTGCCTTCATTGATGACTTTGGGAAGAACAACCAGACATGCTGAGCTTGGCTCTGCTCTTCTTCCTGAGAGTAAGTTTGGTAATAAGGATTGTTCCTGGATGGGGCACAATCCAGTCCTGCCTGTGAGATGTCTCCCTCATTCTGGGGGCTGCAATTAACAAGCCTACTTACTGTCAGACCTAAAGCTATGTTCTCCAACTGGACCTCACCCAATAATAATAATGGTATGTTAGCCTTTATAGTGTTCTCCCTCTCTCACTCTCGCTCATTCGCTGTCTTTCTCTCTGTGCTTTCAGAGCCTAGGCAAAGAAGAAAATGAAAAGCATATAAAACAAATGCGCTCCCATCAACTTTAATCCAACTCTCAGAGACCCTATATAAGGTATCAGAGGCTGTTCATCTTATAGAAGCTGACAGCCTCCTCTTTCTCCCATAGAACGAATGGTGGGTTTGAACCACTGACCTTACTGTTAACAGCCTGACACTTAACTCACAGTGCCACCAGGATCCTTAGAAGAGAGCTACTTACTGCAGGCTCCTTCGGAAAGCCCAATACTGCTCATCAATTAAATATTCTAAATTTTGTTCTTCATTCTTCAATAAAGCTTAAATGTTTAATATCGGTTTCAGACATTCATAAAAGAGATTTCCTTCATAACACCAGGAAAGAACACAAAGGGGGGAGAAGGCAGAAGAACTAGGGAGTATAATTAAACTATGAAGCTGTTACTCCTTTTGCCTTCAAAGGACTCAAAATGTGGAAGCACTGTCACTTCAGTGACACAAAAATGATCGCGTCTGCCCTCTCATCTCTCTCTCATCTCTCTCTCATCTCTCTCTCATCTCTCTCTCATCTCTCTCTCAGTGGATTCTGACTCAGAGTGGGCCTCTAGAAAGAGCAGAACTGCCACCTGGGGGCTTCCGAGACGACCAATCTTTACAGGGGTAGAAAGCCTCATCTTCCTCCGGCAGAGTCATTGGTGATTTCGAAATGCTGACCTTGTGGTTAGTGATCCAAATCGTAACCTGCTACACCTCTAGGGAAAGAAATTCTTCAGTTTTCAATGCTACCAAACATCACCCAGGAAGGAAGTACCGGGTCAGTGAAATGCGTGTGACTGAAACTCGCTTCATCGAGTATTGGTTTTGAGGAGAAGGCTTGGCCTTATAAAATACAGTCTATCTTGCCAGCACACTCACCATCTGATCTGAAAAATTTAACTCAAACTTTTTCTTTTTTTTATAGGTTGAAATGAAAATTGACTTTAACTTGGCACCAGAGGCCTTTGATGATCAGTACCAAGGCTGCAGCCAACAGGTCACGGAGGCCCTGAGTCAAGGGGATTACTTCGCCAAAGAACTAGAAGGCCATAGGAGTTACTCCAGGGCCTGGCAAAAAGCCCACTTAAACTGGTTGAACCAAGACAAAGCTCTCCCCAAGACCATGACTACTGCCCATGCTGTGGCCATCCTGGTCTATTCATTGAACGATAATGTTCACTCGGACTTCACTAAAGCTATGGCCGGTGCTGGCCGCTCTCCACAGTACTATGAACATTCATTCCGTTTTAAGTATCTGCACTACTACCTGACCTCAGCAATCCAGCTGCTGAGGAGAGAAGTCATCATGAAGAATGAGAGTCCATGCTATGAAGTGTACCATAGGGCAAAGGATGCCAACTTCAAAGCCCACTCAGGTGCCACCGTTCGATTTGGTCAGTTCCTCTCTGCCTCCCTCCTAAGGGAAGAGGCACAGGAACTTGGTAATGAAACCGTATTTACCATAATTACCTGTCTGGGTGCACCTGTAGAAGACTTCACCCTCAAAAAGGAGATCTTGATCCCTCCCTATGAGTTGTTTGAAGTCATAAATGTAAGCTACTACCCAAGAAGAAATTGGTTGCAGTTGCAGTCAACTGGGAACCTGAGCACATATAACTGCCAGCTGCTAAAAGGTATTCTTGATCTAAATTGAATCAACGCTTGTCAGGATCCCAGACCGCTAGTCTTGTATAACGTTGCATTTCTGAGAGGCCTGGGGGTGAGCGTGGGGGGGTGGAGAGAGTGCAAAACATGGAAAATAACTTTTAGTGATGGCATATTTAACAAGCAAGAGACATTGGGGGGGGTTGTTTTGTTATTAATTAAAAGATCATTTTATTGGGGGCTCTTACAGCCCTTATAACACTCCATACATCAATTAGATCAAGCATTTCTGTACATAGATTCCCATCATTATTTTCTAAACATGTACTTTTCATTGAGTTCTTGGTATCACCTCCTCTTTTTTCCCTCCCTCCCTCACCCTCGTGACCTCTTGATAAATTATACATTATTATTTTCATATCTTACACCAACTGCTGCCTCCCTTCCCCCGTGGTTTCTGTTGTTCATCCTCCTGGTGTGTGGGAGGGGGTGGGGGGGGACACGGGGTTATGTGTCAATCATTACCATCGGTTTCCTCTTCCTCTCCCCATCTCCCCATCTTCCCCCTCCCTCCTGGTATCCCTACATACACCCATTCCTGTTCCTGGATTCCATGTGTCCTGAGGACTTATCTCTCTCTATTTTGTTATTAAATATTTTTATTGGGGACTCTTACAACTCTTATTACAATCAATGTATTCATCCAGTGTGTCAAGCACATTTGCAGATATGCTGCCATCATCATTTTCAAAGCATTCTCTTCCCACTTGAGCCCCTGATATCAGCTCCCCATTTCTTCCTCCTCCCTCCTCCACCCTCCTTCACAAACCCTTGAAAAGTTATAGATTAATATTTTCATACCTTACATCATCCTCCGTCGCCCCTCACCCACTTTTCCATTGTTTGTCCCCCTGAGAGGGGGTTATAGGTTTATCCTTATAATCAATTCCCCCTTTCTCCCCCCACCCTCCCCTAATCCTCCTGGTATCTCCACTCTTATTGTTGACCCTGGGGGGATTATCTACTCTGGATTCCCTGTGTTTGGTGCTCTTGTCTGTAGCAGTGTGCATGTTCTGGTCTAATCCGATTTGTAAGGTAGAATTGAGGTCATGATGGTGGGGAGAAGGAAGCACCAAAGAGCTGAAGGAAAGTTGTGTGTTTCATTGGCACTATACTTCACCCTGACCAGCTCGTTACTTCCCTGTGACCCCTCTTTAGAGGGATGTCCAATTGTCTACAGATGGGCATTGAGTCTCCATTCCATTTCCCAATTCACCTTGGGTATGATTGTATGCTGGGTCTTAGATGCCTGGTACCTGATCCCATCGACACCTCATGATCACACAGGCTGGTGTGCTTTTTCCATGTGGGCTTTGTTGCTTCTCAGCTAGATGGCCACTTGTTTATCTTAAGCCTTTAAGACCTCAGATGCTATATCTTTCAATAGCTAGGCACCATCAGCTTTCTTCACCACATTTACTTGTGTACCCATTTTGTCTTCAGCAATTGTGTGAGGAATGTGAGCATCACAGAATGCCAGGTTATTAGAACAAAGTGTTCTTTCCTCGAGGGAGTACTTGAGGCCCAATGTCCATCTGCAACCTTAATTCTTAATGTATAGATGTGAATACATAGTTCTATTCCCTTCTCATTATATATATATTTACATATGTACATGCCTATGTTTAGACCTCTATAAATGTCCTTGACCTCCTAATTCTTTCCTTTATTTCCTTTTACTTTCCTCTTGTCCCACCATCATGTTTGGACTTCTTTGGGTTTAATAATTCCTCACTGTTACATTGCCCTTGATGCCCCACTAGGCATCTATGCTCTTCTCTCCATTGATTTTAGTTCACTTGTTGTTCCTTTGTCCCTGGGTTGGATCCCCACTTCCTTTATCCCACCTCCCTTTCTCCCATATCCCCCCAGAACCATTGGTCCCATTTTTTTCATCTCCAAATTATTTATCCCGCCTATCTTATCTAGATAGATATATGCAGATACATTAATAAGTGCAAAAGCCCGGCAAAGCCAAATAAAACAACAAAGGAAGTCACAACCAACAAAAAAATAACAACAACAAAAACAAAGACACTGACAAAAATGGAAAGGCCTATAAATAGTTCAAGGTCTGTCTGTTGGCCTTTATGAGTGTTTTCCAGTCGAGTCTGATGGGGTGCCACACTCTGTCTCCAAAGTCTATTTTTAGTATTCTCTGGGGATTTCATCACTTCACTCCCCTTGCTGCTCTGTTGCATGCTCTTAGTGTTTCACCCAGTATGATGGGGTCAGGTTGTGCACAATTCCCACACTGTGTCCCCAGTATTGTCCCCTGCAGCACTATGGTTTAGTGAGGGGTGTCATGTTGTGTGGGGCTGGCCCTATGGTCCTCTCTGTGCATTGTCTGCTCTGAGCAGGGCTTGGTGGGCCAGAAAATTTTGTTTTTATTTCTTTTTTGTTTGCTTCTCTTCTTTCCCCCCTGCTATCCCTAGGAAAATGTGTTTTTGCAATGGCATTCTATGTGTGGAATTCTAAATAGCGATAGTAACACTCTACTGAAGGAGGGTGGGGTGGTGTTTGCATAAAATAGGAGATTTTCATCTTCTCCTCCAAACTCATTTGTCATAATCATCGCATGACTAAAGAACACAGAAAGTAAAGCAGGTGGTAGGATTTACCCATCCTTTTAATATTCAATTGTCTTCTATGTTATGGACATTGGGATAGGAGTTTCTGAAGACATAGAATGAATAAAGCAAAAACCACAATTCCAGGAGAACTTTTAGTCTGGACAAAATGGAAACATGACAAATGCTTACACACAGATGTAGTAAGTGCTAAACCAGATGTTTAAACAACAGGTTATCCTGCTCAGTACCAGAGAAAACTGAGGAAGATTTGACAGGGGGGAACCATAGAGCCTGAAGTGAGAATGGGGGCTTTCAATAAAAGGAGAGCAGAAGTTATTTCCAATAAAGAACAGCAACAACAACAACAACAAAACTTTCATTGGCATTGACTTGATGCCAACTCACAGAGACCCTATAGAACAAGGTAGAAAACCCCCTGTATGTTTTCACCACTGTAACTCTATAGTAGTAGAAAGCCTTCTCTCTCTCTCCTGAGGAGCAGCTCGTGATTTTGAATTGTTGACCTTGCAGTTAGCAGCCCAACTCATAACCACTATGCAAACAACATATATTTCCAAACAGCCTAGTGTCTCCTAGGATTCTCTGAAGTTCTAGGTAGCTGGCAGATATGTAGGATGTGTGGCCAATAGGAAAAGAGTAGCAGTAGAAGCGAGTGGGGAATTGATCAGAACTAGAGAGTTAGGATGGGGCCAGATTGGATTAATTCCATGTTAAAGGCTTTAAAACTGTTATCCTATAAGTTGTGAGACATGACTCGAAGTTTCTAAATAGTAGAGCATCCATCCAATTCATATTTTTAGAGTGAACTCTGATGACATTATGAAAAGTGAACTGAAGCAGAAGAAATTAAAACTATCTCAGTAGGAAACAACTGTTAGGCTCTCCTTTGAGAAAACCATGGGACTGGTTCTGTCTTTCTCCTTCTAGAGAGCCACCTGCAGTCATCCCCAGAATGATATTTGAATAGCATAAGCCGTGCCCTGCTTGACTCAGAAGGAAGATTGTCCTTACCTACGGACACATTCATTCACAGTGAACTCTCAACCCAGAGCAGAAGGAGTGAACATTCTTGTCTGTTTTCCTCATCCTTCCCAGAACCCCTGTAGGGTCTTCCTTTGGAAGATTCCTGGCTCTGTCTCCACACTATCCTAATTGTTGCTGCTCTCAACTCACGCTCAGCATTTCTCTACATTTCAGGGCTATCGTGTTGCAAAGGCCCTCAAATTGGCATCCACACCGAGGCCAAGGGCCTGCCCATCATGGTCTATCTGCAAGTGCAGCACCAGGGAGAGGTCAGATCAAGGGCATACCTCCTCCCTCCTCTTGGAGGCAGCAAGAGAAATGAGAGGAGTATCTGTCCCAAAGCCCTAAGAGATTAGTGTTAGTACAAGATGAAAACTGACAGTGAGATGTTGATAATAAATGAAAATGTGATGACAAGGTTCTGGGATTCTTTAGAAATACACCACACTTGGAAAGAATTCCTTCATTTTTTATCATGATAATGTTTCTACTAGGTTAATAAGCACAAACGTATTTAGTGAAACATCTTAGAATATCTGTGACAAGAAGTAGAGAATTGAATGAGGGAGTTTATAAGAGAAACTATTATCCACGTTTCGCCACCATCTGAATCCCAAAGGAAAATATTTGGGGATTTCTCACAAAACTAATTACAATTATTTTTGCTTTCCTGTGGTGAACTTCTACAGCTTTAACTCAGTTTAGAGTTAAGGCTTAGACCAATATCTAAGTGGGGTCAGGATGCATAGCACTTAATACTGGAGGTTTGGTTGATCATGGTTAGATCTTTGAAAGCCCTAAACACACTTGAAATAATCTATACATTTATATTGCTCAAGGAGTATTGATGATGTGGTGACTTATCCATTGGACTGCTAACCTCAAGGTCAGTACTTCAAACCCACCAGCAACTCTGCAGAGAAAGATAAGGATTCTTGCTCTCCTATGGATTGACAGCCTCAGAAACCCACAGGGGCAGTTCTATCCTGTCCTATAGGGTTGCTATGAGCCAGAATTGAATCAACTCAACAACAGTGAGTTTCAGGTTTGTTTGCTTGCTTGCTTGTTTGTTTGTTGTGGTTGCATTGCTCTGTAAGTTCTGTGTAGGCAGGAACTTGGTAATATTTAAGAGTTTAGCATAGAATACAGATAGCTTGTACCCAGCCATCCTAACTAGATTAAAATCCAACGTGTACCATTTATTAGTTAGATGTTCTTAGTTAAGTTACTTAATATATCTAAGATTCTTCACATCTACATAAGGAGCATCATAACAGAACTTCCCTGGGTTGTTAAAGAATAAAGAAAATACAATACTACATTATTTATAATCCTTTAACATTAAATAAGTG